TGTTGGATTGCGCGTCCGGCTCGAAATCGGGCCGGCGCGAAAGAGCATCCGCGACGACATTGAGTCGCCTTGGTTTATACTCCACGGAGAAGTTATACTCCGCGAAGAAAGACAGCCACCTCGCCATCCTTTGCGAGAGGTGTGGGCTGTTTACGGCCGTGCGTAATGACGCATGGTCCGTGTAGACAACAAACGGTCTATCTCCCAAGAGAAAGACGCGAAATTTAGCCAGTGCGTATTTCATGGCAAGGAGTTCCTTGTCATGCACTGGGTAATTACGCTCAGCTGCTTGCAGCTGACGCGATTGATAACAGATGACGCGCTCCGCGCCATCTGCATCGAAATGCATTAACGCACAGCCGATTGCGAAATCGCTGGCGTCACAGACCACATGAAATGGTCTGTCCTGATCTGCAATCGCCAAGATCGGCGATTGCATCAAGCTTTGCTTGATACATTCAAAGGAACGCTGGCACTTAGCGTTCCATGACCACTTGACATTTTTCTTGAGCAAGCAAGAAAGATGTACCGTCATCTCGGCGTAGTTGCGCGAGTACTTGTGCAAGTACGCCGCAAGACCAAGGAACTTTCGAAGTCCCTTGACATCGACTGGCACTGGCCAGTCGGTGATCGCCTTGATCTTTTCGGGATCAGGGCGTACGCCGTGTTTCCCCACGATGCCCCCAAGAAGTGGTATTTCTCTAGCCGCGAATATACACTTCTTGAGGTTGGCGTACAACTTATGCTTGCGCATGAGTTGAAGAACCTGACGAACGTGAGTTCTGTGAACTTCAACGTCCGTCTTCCCGTCCATAGCCCGGCTATGGACCAACACATCGTCGAAGTAACTCGGTGCGAAGTCTCGCACCGGTCTCAACAGATTTGTTACACATCTGTTGAATGTTGCAGGGGCATTACTCAGCCCCTGTGGCATCACTAGCCACTCCCACAGCATCCCGCTGGGGGTACTCACTGCTGTGAACGGGACGTCCCGTTCACGCATCAGGATCTGATAGAATCCATCCATCAGATCCATGGACGAAAAGATGGTACTCTTTGACATACCATCTATGATTACGTCCTTCCTCGGTATCGGCGTCTGAGCCGGTACCGTTGCAGCATTCAACTTGTTGAATGCGTGCACTATCCACCACCCTCCTGTGGCCTTTCGCACACAGAAGGTCGGAGAGCTGTGAGGGGATGTTGATTCCCTCACATGGCCCGCTGCTAAGCGATCGGCAAAGAACTTGTCGATCGCTATCACTTGTTCACGAGGCAGTGGCCACTGCTTCATGACACAGTATTTCGAGCCCGGTTTGAGCTCGATCTCGTGTCGAGTGCCTTTGTCCTTAGGCAACTCGCAAGGTACGGATTCAGGGAACACATCCCTGAATTCGATCAAATCCTTATACAAAGGATTTGCCTGAAGTGACTCCCAGGATTGGGACGCGTATCGCTCAATCCGAGTCTTCTCATCGAGGACACTTTCGTCCATCGATGAGCTGCTGAGAACCCGTTCGTTCTCAGCAAATACTGTTGCCGACCGAATGTCGGTCACATACTCGTCCTCTGTGACGAGTACGCAGATCTGCTTGACTTTGCCACTACGCAGATCACGCAAGAACCGTTTCGGTTCTAGCGTTGGCAACTGAGTTATCTCCGAAGTCAACTTCGGAGGCACAATCAGATCAAGCGTATAAGCGCCTACGCTTGATCCGTCATTAACCAAGACGTTCAACGTCTCGGTTTCTTCCTGGGATCTTGCTTCCACAGGTTGCTGAGGGCCTGATCCCTCAGCAAGCAACTCTTGAGGAACTCCTTCCTCAAGTACGTGGGGACTTATTCCCTCGACGTCTTCCGACTGTGGCTGTGCAACCACAGTCAGGAACCGATCCTCTACGGTCGACTCTCCAGTCGACCTAGTATTTTCATGTTGCCCCTTGGGGGCAACAGACTTCTTTCTTCTAAGATGCTGCCCGCTAGGCATGCATCCATGTCCCGGTCCACTCGACTTATTCGAGTGGTGAACCTTCGGCGCAGCCTGTACTTCTGTACAGCCGCCGGGAGCTTGCTCCACAGTGTAGTGATCAACTACACTGTGATCTTGTGCAGTCGTGCTAACGACCGTACCGCAAGTGAGGCCATCGCACTCACTCGCAGAACATCCACACGCTTGTGGACGCTCCAAGATGTTCATCAGATGGCCATCTGATGAACAAGCAGCAGGCATCTTCACGGATCGATGCTGCCAGCTCACTCTTGGCTCGTACTTTCTGAGCCAAGGTAATTTCAGGATGACATCAAATTTGTCATCCAGATCTAGTACGATGAAATCATCATCGTACTGCTCGCCCTCTAACGTGTAGAGGATTCCGACTACACGTTTCTGAAAGGTAATCGATGCGCCTGTTGCAAGGCGCACCGTCATACTTGTGAGGGGAATGTCGCGCTCAACGAACTTGAGCCTACGACCCTCTAGTGACTGGCGACGAACAAAGTTGTTCGACGCCCCACAGTCTACTAGGGCACGAAGCGACAAGTCATTTGTCGCTTCCAACTTCAAGGTTATGAGCGAAACGTCATCACCAGGTGCAGAGACACACAATGATTGTGTATCTGGAGCAACTTTCGTCAAGAGGTTTGCAAATTCTCTTGAGGTTGCTGGATCAGTAGGGCGCTCCGCCCCTACTGACCCCGACCATTTTTTGATGGCCCGTCTCGCTGTTGCGGCTTCGCAACAGCGCTGGACCCACGCCCATTGCCCTTTCTGGCGAATGGTCGTCCATTTCGCTCAGTACTGTTTGGTACTGGGCGCGGAGCACTACACTCGTATGCGTAATGCCCTAACTTCTGGCAGCGATTGCACCTCTGCAATCGCTTGTTGTTTGTAGAGCGAGGTCTCTCGCTCTCAACATAACAGAGGTCCATTGGTTCTGGACCTCCGATCTCTTGTCGTCTCGGTGGACGGTAAGAGTTTGAGCTAGCATGAGCCTGTCTCATGCTAAAGTCTTCCTGTTCCGCGGCTGATATCGCTTCTTCAAGCGTATTCAGCTCAAGGCGGAATAGGTGGCTCCTGACGGGCCCTTCTGCGAGCCCTTGCATGAACACCGTAATCAACGTGTGTTCAGGTACTGGGTTTGCAGTTATACTACTCGCAAGGAGTCGTATATGTTGTGCGTAAGCGTGCACATCACGCTTACCCTGCTTGAGTTTCAGGAGCTCTGAACGAGCCCTGAACTCAGCACGTGGCGGCTCAAACGTTTGTCTGAGCCGGGACTTGAAGTCATCTAGCGACCTAAACACATTTGGGTCGCTACTCTCGAGTCCCAGGGACCAAGTTTTGGCACGCCCTGCCAAGTGGGTCTGAGCAAATGTGAGTTTCATTTGCTCATCTTCGACGCGACGAGCCCTTAGGGCTCTGTCGAGTTCGACAAACCATAGTAACAGGGAGTCCTCCGGGACTTCACTGTACTTGGAGATGTCAACCTTCATGACCTCGGGACGACGCGCATGCGCCGTCCCGCCCACAGCAGCATGGAATTGCTGCTGTCTCAACAGCTCCGTCTGTTGAGCACCGAGTTCTCTCAACTGCTCGGCCTGTTGAGAGCCTTGCTGGTGAAGCAAGGCTACTTTCTCCCTCTCGAGAGCAAGTTCATTGTGAATGAACTTGGCGATAGCAGCATGTTGTTGGTCTCTGTCTAGAGACTCCAACATGGTGCTGACGACGAGTTCGCCTACGGTAGAACTCATTCGTTCTACCGCACCCCATTCGATGTCACTCAAATGGGTAAACCCTTCACGCGTGGCGTGAAAGGTGTCTTCTTCATCCAACATGTTCATGTTGGATGATGTGGTCCTTGGAAGGACTACAAAGTGCTACCAGGTGTAACGGGGCACACCCTTGCGTAACTTAACGCAAGGGATTTGGGTGCCCCGACGGGCGTACACGTGGCGAGCGAGGAAGCGTAGGTAGGGTAAAAGTAGAACTGTTATATTAATAAATTAAGTCTTTAAACTACTGTCTCTTCGTTTGACTTAATTCAATTATACTAATATAACTGCATGTATGGTGACGTCTCGTCACCACTCATTGCGCGCGTCTTGCGGCGATTGGTGGGTTGATATCATCACGATATCAACCAATGAACAGACCCTTTGGTCGACCCTTCAATATCACCACTTTGGTGATATTGTTTAAAGAATATCCATCTTTATATTCTTTATTGTCACTTTCCTTAAGTGACAATATCATGTAACGGGCTGCCCCGTTACACCCGGTACACGCGGTGCAGATTCGCAGCACTCTCCCATTTCACCTTCGACCAAGCATATTTAGCTCTGCAAGCTTTTGTCGCTTTCTGATCGGGGGCGCACAGGCCGTCCTGCTGGATAGACTTGCCGTCTTCAGTTCAGATGGCGCTCCTGGACGTGGATAAAGAAAGGTAGAGCTATGGCTTTCTACCGGGATCGATAATGCCGCTGTGCTCGTCCCTAGCCCCATGTAACTTTTGTAACACAGTGTGATCCGTCGATTCAGTGTGTCGCTGTAAAATCGTTTCGCTCGGATTATTGATCAGCTATGTGCCCGTGACCTTGAAGTGGTTGTAAGCACAAAGGCTTCAAGATGAAAGCTGTTCTTGACGGTGCCGGACCAGCACTTACTCATACGACTTTCCTGTCGTGTCCATTCTTTTGTCCATAGCACGGACAAGTTCAAGTAGGATTGGCATGATCTGGCAGGATCCGACAGGAACAGTCCTGGCATTTCCGCACGGAATAGCGACCAAACGAAACCGCAGTTAACATTTCCCATTCCGCAACTTGTCCGGCAGTCAATAAGTCGTATCATGCGCTGGCTCAGTCGTGTACTCACGGCTTTGGTAGTTTTTGTTGTAGAAACAGCTGAATTAGCAACCACCGCCGCCGGCAGGGCTCACAACGCGGCCCGCTTCACGTCCTCTGCGTTTGATCGTGTGAACAATACGCTGCTTGCAGTGCCAATGCTCGGGAACCATTCGACAATGGCGCACGACGATGGCCTAATTGAGAGCAACGAACAAGAGCAGCGCCGTGAGGACAGGGCCATGCCGGGCTTATCCACGATTGAAAGATTCCTCGCGCGATTTGGGGGCGTTTTCCACGATATCGAGAGAAGCCAGCCCATCGAAGATTTCGTTACGCGCATGGATACGAATAAAGTCATCGTCGCGATGAGGATCGAGGATACGGGGAAGTTTGTGAATGCGCTAGCTGAGGAGCTGAACCCCACAAAGATCCAATGGGACTATGAGAAAGTGGTCATGACCCTCGCTGGTTACAAGAATTCGGGCAACAAAATGGTTACCAAAGGCGGTGTGTACGCTGGAGACCTCATTCGGGCTTTTCACCAGCTTCGAGACGTTGCTGACATGAGGGAGCCCGCTGACCGCATGCAGAGATTTCTATCGGTCATACCTCCATATACCCTTGACGATGTGAGACTAAAGCTGTGGCTTAAGGCGAAGTTGACCCCGGAACAGGCTTTCGAGATACTGCCGTCCGGCTATCGCTTTGATCTCAAGTCAATAAATAAGAAGCACGGTGAGTTGTCGACGCAGATCGCATATTTTCGTGCTGTCGATCCACTAGAGCAATACATCGAACGATACCGCGTAGAGGTGCAACAGGACTACAGCAAGGATGCCGAAGATAGTCTGCTGAAACTCTACACTGATCAGCTTAGCAACCTCCCGTTCAAATGGGACACGAAGACGGATCCGACCCTCTAACGCTTAAAAACTTAGCGTTATCGTAGCCGAACTGTGCGTCGTAGGACGTAGAGCCGAACGCATTCCACTTGATGCTATCTTGCATCGTCGGGGAGCAACGTGTGTTGAGTTAGTGATACATGTTTCTCTTCGCAGCTTCGTTAAAAGGAGCGACATTGAATACGCTTCGACTAGCCAAAAATTTACGGGGGTGGGTACAATTTTAGCGGTCAATACATCACATAAATATACCTGCCTTCTTGTTTTGCAAACGAGTCGAGTAAGGCAGCATGATTTGTGCTGCACATGTGTCGTAGGAGCAAGGTAAGCTTAGGCGAAACGATGACGCTCGAAATTTAATAGGCAGCTATCACGCAGAGCCAAACTTGGCGAAGCAATCTAATAGTCTCTTGATCATACTGGACGGGTTACTTCATGCTCAATGCTTTATTGCATGTACAGACATAACGCGGAGATCCCTTACGTATTATCGTTTATTTGTTGGCCAATATCAAACTATCAGATCAGAGGACATCTAACAACATTACTTCGCGGTAATAGCGAGAGACTATATCACCTCTTAACATGATATTTGACAATGCTCGATAACACACGGGTCATGACTTATAGTGGCCATGACATAACTAAAAAGTGCGTCTAATAATTGATAGGTGCGCGCATTGATTGGCTACAGGAATTTGATGCGGACGTGTGTAATTATGAATTTTATAAGGTAATGATGTTTTCACACCCCATTTTTACTATTTTCACCCCCCTGAAACCAAATCAGGGTACCTTCTAGTTTTCACAACACAGTGCGATGCACATAGGTCACACGTCGCGTATAGCTATTGTACACTAAGATGATCTTGCGTACAACATTGTCCTACGTCTATTGGGAATATGCGCGTTGGAATAATGCGTGTTCAACTGGCGAACGAAAATTTTATCACGGATGGATGAGACACCAAGGTTGCAGTTGTGTGAGCTTCTAGATACGGAGATCTAGAAGCTAGTAGATATATACATGTTTGCAGTACTACAACAAGTAGGTGACATCAACAGAGAAATCTAAACGATAATTCACAATATGTTTCGTGCTGCGGAAGACAAGCGGGTATTTAAGTGTTATGAAATGTACGTATTGTCTAAGAGATGGATTATACTCTCGGTTGAAGCTGACAACAATGAAAAATGTTTTCCTATAATGTCAAGCGGATGACGAACACGCCTAGAATGTCCGGGAGATGGATAAGTGAACGACAGTTGCGTACGAGCATGATCTAAAGCGGCGCTACAGACCTGTGCAGAATTGTTTTAATTGCGTCGTACGATATAAAGAGAAAAATTAAGCTTGCGCGCTTTCAACTGGAGAGCCGTGGACATCGTCCATGCTTAAGGATACTGGACCTCGAAGAACTTTTTAGACTCCACAAAATATCAAGCAGTTTCTTATGGTAGTTGTGAAGTTATGAAGTAAATGGCAGTGCGTAGTACCAATTGATATAGTTGCCATTATTGATTGCGTATAAGTCGTAAAATACACCCTGTTTTGGTTCCAGGGGGGGTGAAAATATCATTACCCATTTAATAAGCTTATATGTGTATTACATATATAGCAAAAGGGATTGATCACACTGATTACAGGTCCCTACAGTGCAGCTAAGCCTCTTCAATAAATGTCTTGGCTCAAAAATTCACCAGAGTTTATGATGGCGTTCGGTGCAAGTTGCTCCAAAAATGCCAGTAAGTTTTTTTGCTGTCGTCACTATTCAAATAACGTTCGCCACACACGTGGTAGCAATTAGTGATCTGTCTAACAAACGAAAAGTCATCCACAATGATACTAGAATACGGGGATCACTTTCTTGTATACCTAAAGACTTCTCCCATTTCAGTGGCCTTTCATAAAAATTGGAAAAGTGAACGAGGTTAGGTTGTCTATGGTCAGCAATCAACCCCATTGTTCGCCCTTGACAAATACGAAAAATTTCTACGTTTGCCACGTTCCTTTAACTCAAATTTTGACGTGGACGACGATAATATTGCTTCGTTTCGCCAGCAAGATACCCGGAAGATAGAAATACGACGGTAAAGGGGTGCGGATGGCATGAAAGGTTAAGACAGCAGCAAGCACCCGTTGTTACTACTGAATCGCCAAAGCTTGCGCTTCGAGCCGAAATATTTAGGATAATTTAGGTCCAAGTCGGTTAAAGGAAATCTTTGTTGATATAGTTTATCGATATCGATGACGCCATCAAAGCTCGCCACTGTAAAATCAATGTGATGCATTACATTTTGCATACACCTCCTAGGTTTGAAAATATAATATATTGGATCCAGGGCTCAAGATGTCTGAATCGAATGGACTACAATCATATTAAAAATTATAGGGCGGCTTAAAAAAAGGTTTGAATAGTCCCACAAATTATCGGCTGCGGAGGAGTCGTCAACACAATATTACTGATGCGTACAGTGACCTTCCATGTTTTCCAGAATTGCCGACTTAAGAAAGGGGTTCTCCAAATTGTGCTCTTGTATACTCTTGAGCTTACCTGATGTTACTCGTGGATTGATATGGCTTCAACGCTCCGCAACAGTCTTTACCTCATACAAGCTCTCCTGTAGTTAGTAATTGAACATGAAATTCGCTGCGCGTAATTATCAAGACCGTCTAGCTAGATCGGAATTACTATCAAATTCGCTAATGATACTCATCTCGGACCAATTGGTTCTTGCGAATAATTTAGTAAGTTGTATTGGTGTTTTATAGATTCTCACCATTCTTGAAATCTCAATAGTTGGCACAATCGGTCTTGTCGATATTGGTCACCCATTGATCTTACCCCTGAGAGATCTGGATAAAGCTTTCTATAACTCTAACGTTTAGAACCATCTAGTGCCCGAATCACTACAAAGCGCCAGTCGGGAAGTCATACAATGTTTTTGAAAAAGGGAGACACGTAATGTTGCTAAAAGTTGAGGTAAAGTGATCTAGCGATTTTATGACAGACAAATAGATCGCGCTTATGTCCAGTCCGAGCTAGCGAGCGATTGGTTAAAACGGTCAAACTAATCTTATAACGTCATTTTAATGGGTGGAAATAGTCGAAAGTGTTGATAGGTTGCGAACACTGGGCACGAGAAAGATGCTTAATGAACACGAATTTATTTCTGCACTATAAAGTGGAGACGACTTGCGAAGGAGAAGGAATATTCGGAATTGAATCTATTCTGTAGGCTATTTATCTACGCGATTTATTCTTGCACTATTTGAAATTGATTGACACATAACAATGAAAAGGGAAAGCTTAACTTCCCTTTAGGTTTTCGCTAACCACCCCCAGCCCCTATATATTACCGTAATTTATATAATTTTCATGTTTATGCTTGCCATGGCTTGCACACCCATCTGAATTTACAAGATCATCAATATGAGCTAAATTTATCACTTTCTCGCGAGTGGAAAAGTACTCGACAAGAACCTTGTTGATGGCAGTCTTCAACGACTAAGCAGATGTTTCCATTAAACAACGTTCGATATGCAAGCGACGGAGCTTTTAGCGCTCAGTGAGCCATCCTCGTCAATGCTGGTGGTCACATCTGTCATGTTGATCGTCTTGGACCAATCACTTGACTGCATTGTGCAAAACGACGAGGAGGAGTCGGCGTCAATACTGCGATCGGCCTCCATTTCAATCGAAACGAAGTCAATTGTAGTACCCAGCGGATGCAGACTGCTTTTTCGGGGAAACCCTTTAGAGAAAAGCTTAGTCTGACTCTTTTCAGACGCCACGTCGAGCCACTACCATCATTAAATTACACGTTAGTCTGGTTCGTCAATTGTACAGGTATTGCGACGATTGATGTACCACTTAATAGACCTCTGCGGCTGGCATTAAGTCAATTTCGATTATTGTATTGTTAAATGCCTTTGTCACAGTGACCATGCCAGATAATCGCTACAAGACCAATTTTGTTCCAGAATCGCTCGTACAAAAAGTCGCATTTGACCGAGCCATTACTCGTTCAAATGAAGTATCTATACAATAAATTATCACATGTCGCCGACTAAACGACATGCATAGATTGTTCGGATTTATTGTTTTAATCATTTGTAAATGAAATTTGTAAATTACTTCTGAGACCGGTAATATTCTCGCAATTACCAATTAGAAGGCGTAAATTGAGTATATTACGGTAATGTATAGGGGAGGAGGAATAACGAAAATCTAGGGGTAGTCAACGTTTCCCATTAAAAATTACATTTCTTGTCGGTCACCTAATAATATTTTACGCGTCCAATATTTCGTAAGTACCTCCGTAAGGACGCGGGATCACCATAGACCGGTTTACGGTCTCCTTGGTAACTAATAACAGTTCCTTAACCGTCACTCCACAATATATGATTAAAATTCGTCTTCAGGTTGAAAAACGATGAAAAATAATGACGAGGCGTATACTTTCCATACGCGATCACGGAAGCAACCGCGATCAGGTACGCAAATACGATCACGAAAGCGATCGATCAGGTTGGTGTGTACCATACCACGCCATCGCGATCAGGATAGGTTTTTGCGATCAGGATGGAGATTGCAATCAAGGACACGATCGAGATCAGGCACGCGGTCACGATATGGTCGATGATACTACACCACGCGATCACGATCAGGTACGCTGTAGCAATATGGTACGCGTGTACTACACTACGCGATCATGACCAGGACGGAGATCGCGATTCGAATAAAGATCACGACCAAGGACGCGACAATAGTTTATTACGTGAACGCGATCAAGGTCGCGATCACGATCAGGTAAATGTGTACCACACCACGCGATCAGGATAGAGATCGCGAACTGGAAGGTGTGTACCATACTGCGCGATCACGATTAGGCACACGATCGTGACAGGTACGCGATCACGATCAGATAGGTGTATACCATCTTACGCGATTCACGACAAGCGATCAGAAAAGAACATGAATTGGGCCACGTCGTGCAAGGGAAAGAAAGCAAATTCG